TATATATATTTTTTTTTTCATTCGAATGAAAACGCAGAAGAAAATACTTAACCCAGTTGTAACATTTATGAAATACCTATTTTAAGCACTGGTTTGATCAGTTTTATGTTGGAAAAATATATATTTAGAAATGTTTCTCATGCCTATTTTATTATGTTATTTATATATTTTTATTATTTTAGCTCGGATTTAAAACAACAAAATATGCATATAACTGTAAATGATTGGATATCTGATTAATGTAATTTTAAATTAGATGTTATGCTCAGTTAATTAGCACATAATCTTACATTTATACTCTTACTTCAGTAGTTTCTTGGATGACAACTTTTTACTTTCAATGTGAAAGGACATTGAGGTAATGCACTACATCTTTTGGAGAACAGGTTTTGGCTAAGGTATTCACCTCTGATCAATAAAAATAAAGCGCATCAAATCGTTTGGCTCCCGCACACTAGGTGGCGGAATACAGTTAAACTCTAATACGTCACAACAACAGAAAGAAGAAGAAAACGGGAAGAAACCCCTCAACTTCGCTGTTTTTGCTTCTGTAAGGTGCGTTCATGTCCTTAAAACATTATTTACACTTAGCAGTTTGGAAAGCTAATGATGTATTTATACGTTTTTCGAGGAGTGTATGGTTTTAACTCTCGGATATATTTATAGTTAGAGGTGTTACTGGGCTACTGCTAGTAGCTAAGCTGCTAATACCTAGCACCGACCAGCGGTTAGATTTAGGTTAAACCATAGATTTAAGTCGAGTCGCTTTTTAACATTTTAAGTTATTTTGCGTCTAATTTGCAACTGAAACCCTAAATTTGCCATATTTGTGGTGATTTTTTTTCTTTTTCCACTGTGAAAATGCTGTTACCTATTCCTACAACCAGGGTACAAATGAACGAACATCCTGTTTGAATTCTTGGGGTTTATGTAGCAGGACAAAATACAATTAACCTGCTTTTTCTAGCTCTAGATTCTACTCGGTCATTATTGTTGATATGAAACAAAGTTAAAATTTAAAAGTTGTCTGCTGCGTTCAATAGCAGGCAACTTAGCTCGCGCTGCTCAGTAAAGAGCTTCAATGTTTTATTCAATTCAAAAGTAGTTATTGCTCTAAAAGAGAAACTAAGTGTTGTATTAACTCGTATTAATCAAGATTCTTCAGAGAGCTGCTGTAGATTCTCATGGTAGTGGGCAGAAATGATCTCATGTAACAGTCTGTATTGCAGTGAATCTGAAAAAAGCCTCTGACTGAAGAACCGAGTTAGTGAGAATTTCTGTAGATGACACTGGAAGACCAAAATAGAAACGTTTGACTATAATGTCAGCAGCCTAACAAAAACATGTCAGATAAGTTTTGACTTGTGATGAACCTCAGTTGGTCGCTGTCGTTGCTCTGTGGCTAAAAGAGACCTAAATGTTTGGATGCCGCCGTTCTCCAGCAGGAAATGGACACGCGGTTCACTCGGGGAAAGTCCACCATTCTGGAGCGACCGCTGAGCCGGCCCAAGACAGAAGTGAGCCTGAGCACCTTCGCCTTGCTGTTCTCAGAGATGGTCCAGTACTGTCAGAGCCGCGTGTACTCGGTGACAGAGCTGCAGACGCGCCTCGCCGAGATGGGTCAGCGCGTGGGGGCCAGCATGCTGGACGTGCTGGTGCTGAGGGAGAAGAACGGGAAGAGGGAGACCAAAGTGCTCAACATGCTGCTCTTCATCAAGGTCAGCTGCTTTTTTAAAAGTCAGTTTGGATTGAATTAGTCGCAGTCTTGGGTGATAAATTTGATTTCAATGGTTTTTGACAATTTCATTTTTGGAAAATCTTTTTTTTATTTTTGTAATTTCCATCAATGCGCTCCTTGTGTTTCCATAGTTCTCAGTGATGTCATTACACCTGGAGCTGCCGTCTTGTTTGACAACCATGTTTTAAAACTTCTGTTTATTTGGACTTTGAATTTATGCCAACTATATTTCCACAAAATATCAGGGTCAGGCTACAATTTTCTTCTTTAATTTTTATTCAGTTGTAATTGTTGGAGTATAAAGTATTAATATGAGGGTATTTATGAGAAAATTAACCAAAGATTAAAATGGCGAATGCTGAGCATCTGGTGAAGTTATACTTTAGCATAAGTTATACAGGTAATACTTAATCTTTTAACACATTGGCATCAAATTATCAGTCACAGGATCAAACAATCATACAAACAACTGAGTCCATTTTGAAGGAATAAATCCTGATAACTAAGCTTTTTCTCATCGTAACGACTTTTTTCTTGTAATTTTTAAAAAAATGTTTTTTCTTGTAAATGTCTCCTTTTGCTAATTTTATGACTATATTGTCCAAATTAAACTTGAAGATCCTCGACAAAAATAAAAGCTACTTTTTGAAAATATTTTCTGCCATTTGTAATTATCAATTAAAAACTGGGTCTGGTGTGAGACCCAAGTTTTTCTTTTCTTTTCTTTTTTTTTTATAAGCCACATCACCCCACCCTAGTTTGTTGGTCTCTATAAGAATGAATCGGATTTCTCTGTCCCCGTCAGGTTAACGTGTGGAAGTCCTTATTTGGTAAGGAGGCCGACAAGCTGGAGCAGGCCAATGACGACGACAAGACCTATTACATCATAGAGAAAGACCCGCTCATCAACGCGTACATTTCTGTGCCCAAAGAGAACAGCAGCTTGAACTGTGCGGCCTTCACGGCCGGCGTGGTGGAGGCCATCCTCACACACAGCGGCTTCCCCGCCAAGGTCACCGCTCACTGGCACAAGGGCACCACGCTGATGATAAAGTTTAATGAGTCGGTCATAGCCAGGGACAAGGCTCTGGATGGCAGATGAAGACTTATGAAACAGACCTGCAACGGTTCTGATCCAGGAAATACAACTGCCAGTGATCCTGGTGTACAGAGGTCCAAAGCTGACTAACTGATGTGATGTGAAGAGAGGAAAAGAAGCATTTTGTTGGTTTTGTGGACCATCTTTAGTGTGTTGTACTTATTGGCATGTGTGATTGTTTGCTTGCATTCTGAGTCTTATTAAACATAAAATAAATATTACAATGAATACTTTGTTGATTTTTTTAAGTCAGACATCAAATTTTAATAATGTGTTGTAAATACTTTTTTTCCTGTTTTTTCTGCTCCCCACATCATGCATTGCAGATATCTTAATTTATATTTATATTTAATCTCAATCAGTGTTTGGAACCAGTTGTCCCTTGATTGACCAGCATCAGTGATTTTTTTTTTCTTTGCAAATCAGTAAATACTTTTAAAAAATTAAGAACTCCTAATATTTTTAGTTTAAAACTGCATTAATACTTTTTACTCAAAAAGTGCATGAAGTAAAAGTATTACATGTAAGTTAAGGGACATGTATGGACAAGGACAAACATGGAGATAAGTCATTTGTCCTGTCAGACTGTCAGCTCCCAGAACCACTCGCATAAAAAAAGACTCAAAAGCGCACACACACAGTCAGCGCAACCCTGCTGGACAGGTTAAAATGATCGTATCTTATGCACCAGGAAGGGCTTTAGAGGAACTGCAACAAATTTAACTTTTTTATGTGCTGCCGTCTTTTAGTGTAAAAAATAAAATCAGAATCTATCCACTTTTCTGGTCATGTTATAATTTGACATGAGAAATAAGTGGAAATATGCTTGTTTTAGTTTCTTCCTGTTCACTTTTGTAAATTGACCTGAGTCCAGAAATATTTTCACTGAAATTTTGAGTTTCGACTTTTTGAAACTTAGAAAATTTCCAAAACTCAAAACTTTTCAACTTACGAAACTCGGACATTTTCTAGATTTTTAATTTTTTTTCTAGTAATTTCTAAGCTTACTCTCAAAATTTCAGATTTTTTTCTTAAAATATTTGACTTTTGAAGCTCAGAAATATCCTTCTTTTTTTGCCAGAAAATTTCTGAAAAAATCTAATGTGCTTTTGCACTCTTATGTTGCAGATAGAACAACAAAGTGTCTGTTCATTAT